GGATGAGGTTGACGATGAACTTATTGGAGTAGGATCTGTCATTTGATTCTGCGGAGTGTCTAGTTCTGTTGGAATCTGCATTTGTGTTCCACCTTTATTGGTCTCCCAATTCCAACTTGCTCTTTCATCATACATAATATTTCTATTAATAATAACTTTGCCACTAACATGATTATATAATCGATATGCTTTCAATTGTAAAGAATAATCAACTAAAATATATTTTTTAGATTTTTCATTAGGATGATTTTGTGAATATATATATATATATATATATATAAAAGCATGGGTTTTGCTTGCGATCGCATGCGCAAAAAGGTAAGACAGCCGAAGCCCATCTCGGTGCAGAATGACGGTGCCTATCCGCCGTCAAGACCCGACCCGCCCGCTGACGTGCACGAGCACGCCTGGATTCCCGCCAACTCCTTCCCCCGCTCGTCTCTCCCGTCCTTAAATTCCCGCCACCTCTCCGCATTCCCCCATCCCTCTGTCTCGTTTCTCTCCTTTGATATCGTCGATCATAAACCCTAGCCCTAAACCCTTCGCTCTTCATCGCTAATGGCGCCTTCCCGTCGCCTTAGCGGCCGCTCTCCTCTGGTGCGGCAGCAGAGCCAAATCACCTCCTTCTTCTCTCTCGGTAAGAACTCCAAGGAAAGCCCTAGCCCTAGTCCTGATCCCTCTCCATCTCAACCGAAGGAGAAGAAGCCCCGTCTAGTAATCCCCCCTTCTCCGGCTTCCGGCGCCAAAGTTCCTCTCACTGCCGCTAAGAATTGCCACACGAAAGAGGTGGTCGGAAAAAGGATCAAGGTCTTCTGGCCCCTTGACAAGGCCTGGTACGAGGGGCGGGTCTCCTCCTTCGACGAGATGTCCGGCAAGCACCTGATCTGCTATGTTGACGGTGAGGAAGAGGCGCTTGATCTTGGCAAGGAGAAATTCGAGTGGATCGGGGAGGAGACACCAAGGAGCCTCCGTCGGCTGAGGCGGATGTCGGAGACGGTGAAGATGGCTTGCAGTTCAGCGGATGTGGATAATGAGATCAGCGAGGAAGATACTGCCGACGACGAAGAATGGGGTAAGGTTGGCGGGGAAGATGCGGAGGAGGATAACTCGGATGAGGTAGAATTGGAGGACGAGGACGAGGAAGAGTTTGTTGCGAGTTCAGGTAGCCGATCGAAGAACTCTACAGGGTCGAAAAGAAGGAAGACGATGAATCTTGCTAAATTGGATTGCGCTAAAAAAATCAAATTTGAGAAGAATAGAGAGAGGACTGCATCTAAAGCCTCTTTAAGCATGACAGAAAGTAATGCTGTTGCCCCTTTGAGCAATGATAGAAGTAAGGGCTCAGAGGAACTCTTTTGTGGAAAATAGCCTGCCATGAAATTTGGAGTCATAGTTTTGATTAACTGAACTCTGTTGGATCTATCCATCTTTTATCTTTATTCTCTATTATCACTTAATTGCATATTAGTGTTACTACCTTTTGTAACATCCCTAATCGTACAGTTCTTTTCAAGTACCATTCAGTAGTGTGGTAAAGAAGCGATTGTGTGTACAATGTAGGGGTGCAAGTTTTGGATAGTATTGGCAGCACCGTAACTGTCGAGGCAGCTGAACGGTTTGGAAAACGGGAAGCAGAAAAGTTTAGATTCTTGCAGGAGTAAGTTCTGTTTCAGAACTCTGCCCCTGTCATTCTTTAGATTTATTGTATCCTAATAGCTTATGTATTGCTAAAACTTATTAATGTTATTGTATGTGGTTGATATTTACTCTTAATATGATTAGTGGAATATTTATGTTCAATATTGATGATGAGGCCATAATTGTTTGTGTTTGACATTGATGATAAGGCCACAATTACTTGTCATTGGTGTGAGATGAGCAGATTGGCTTGGTTGACTGAGTTGTTGTATATAATCTTTGGATTGTACTAGTTGACACATTGCACAGCCTAAGCTAGGTATGACTCTTTATCTTTTTAGTTTGTAATTCATTTGGAGCTTTTTTTTTTTGACATGTTAACGCATTAATTCATGTCTTAAATGGTCAAATCGGTCCGTGAAGGGGTTAATCATAATCAAATCTTTAAATTTGGTTCATATAAGCAGTTGAGAATATTTTGTAGCACAATTCTTCTTACCAAACCTAGTTGACCTATTTATTAAATACACAATGCAGGATGGACTTTGATGTCCCATTTATTGTTCGTCGAGCGTGGTATTCATTATTGATACATATATTGGTTAGATTCTCATTGAAATGTATTTCAACTTTAGCATCTGAACCTGATCAACATCCATTGTGACCCTTAGATTGCGACACATGAACGCTATTCAACATTTTGTAGACATTTGGTTAGCCAAGGTACATCTTGATCTTGTGTGATGTTCTCCCATCATCAAACTGAGTGTGGAGAACAAGATGATGGGACATACACTATATATCTTTCATAATGTTATTGCTCATAATGGAAAATGGAAGGCATGATGCTAAGTTTTGCATGATTTAGGGGTATAATTGTGGAAACTGAGTAGCAACTGGTTTTATTATGTAGTCCAGACCAAAGTTTCAGACACTAGTTGACTGGTATGTACCAATTCAATGTTTATTTGTCTTATCATGGAAACATTTTGAATTATTATATATATTTCAATGGTGGCAAAAGATCCATATACTCGATCCTAAATAGTTGGGACTTATAATTTTGTTGTTGTTGTTGTTGTTGTATGTTGATCTGTATTAAATTTCTTTTCTTAGTGACACTTGGTGGTATAAGTTGGAATCCTATATATGCTGGAACTGTACCAATTCAATTGATTTCCGAAACTACTAGCAAGGTTTCAGACCAAGATTTAATCCTACTTTCAGTCATCCATATAGGTGACTTCTGATGAGGTGATGCAAGGATTAATGTTTTATTGGGAAGGATTGGATTATGCTCCAAAGTGTCAAATTAATTAATTTAGGTTCTTGCTATCATATCTTGCCTTCAAGGAGTCCACCATTATGAAAGTTCACTGTGACTGGTGTAGGATTGATTATTTATAATTTGACCATTTATTCTCATTACTGTTTGAGATAGTATGAACTCCAACATCACAATTTAATCTTTTTATGAAATTATGGATAGTATAATGACTAACAATAGCATGAGGACTTCGGAGATATATTGAATGACTTGCATGTTATTCCATTGGATTAGTTATGTAACTTAAAACAGTGCGTCCATTCAAGAATACTAAGAGATTGTTATTTGGCTATTTATGAAGGTCATATGCTCTATGTTCATATTCAGGAGTCAAAGGATTGATAAAACATCTACTACAGTAGAAAAGGAAGTGACTTGTATATGAGTCAAATATGAATTGGCATAGGCAAAATTTTAAAACCATGGGCACAATATCAATTTTGTTGAAGTACTTTGTACTTTGGTTTTGTGTGGGATGTTGCATGCTATAAACTATACCATGTTACCCAGTCCACTGGCTGAACCAAGCCTCTAGAGAAAGACCATCAATTCATTTTGATACATAAGTTTGTTTGTGATTATCTAACAAGGAAGAATACAAAAAATACCTAGAGAATACATTTTGTTGTCACTGCTTATCAGAATATTATGGGACTAAAATGATTCAATTTCACGAAACAACTTTTCACTAAGGCTATTTTATTTTGTTATCACAGAAATACTTAAACATGATGCTCTTATTTTGATGGGGTTTATTTTACAATCATATAAAAAATTGTCTGGTGTTTGTATCCTTGGTAGGGAGTGGTAAGATGTCTGTCATAGAAATGAAGTGCAATAACAACTCACGATTAAACTCATTCTCATTGTCTCAGTACTTGTATTTATAGTAAAACTCCCAAAAACAACACAAACAACAATAGGAAACCATGATGTTCCAAGTTCCAATTATTTGGACCTTCAAAATGATAATATTTCTAGAACACCTGTTCTTGTCATACTCTATGGTGGTTTTTGGCGAGACATTGACTTTTAAAAATCTTTTTGAAGAAGAAATCAGCATATTTATTTTTCATGTCATAGAGGGCGTAGGGATGTTCGTGGCAGGCGTCCTGGAGATAAAAACTATGATCCAAGAACTCTTTACTTACCTCCTGAGTTTTTGAGAACCTTGTCAGGTGGACAGGTAGTCAATTCTCTTTTCAAACATATTAAATTTCTTGTGAATTATAATTTTTCCATTTACTATCATCCTTGGTCTATAGAGGCAATGGTGGGAGTTCAAGTCAAAGCATATGGATAAGGTTTTATTCTTCAAGGTAATTTCATGTTTATGAGGTCCAATCTAATGCATTATGAAGCTTAATTTTCTTGAATTATCAGCTTATGGAAAGATTATCATTATTATTATTATTTTTGATCAGATGGGAAAGTTCTATGAATTGTTTGAGATGGATGCACATATTGGTGCAAGAGAGCTTGATCTGCAATATATGAAGGTAGTGACTTTCTATTTATGCTAACTTTGTAGTAACCTCTAGTTTCCGTTGTATTAATGTCTTTCGTTTGTAAAATCACTTTTTAGATGTTTTTGGTTGGTTGTAGTTTCACTTTTTGTTTTTCTTTGAGGTAATTTTGTCTTATGGTTGTCATCTGTAAACACATGAAATTTCCACGAGTTCATCGGCAGTTACTTTATGTTGATGTTCATACGTTAGACTGATTTAGCATGAATATTAGTAAGGATTAATATACTGGTCTGGAGGCCGTTTTGATTTCCATCAGACTGATAAGATACTAGTGTATTGGATGATATATTGAACTGTATCACCTTGTATCTTTGAATAATATAATTAAATGAACGTATCACCAGTATCGGTATGTTTTGATGCCAACACTTAGTTGAACCGATAAATATTAGTTGTATGTATGGTCCAACCATTATCTGAATCCTTGATTGAAACTGTTGCAAGTCTCTTCCCTTGTACTTTATTTTGATTCATATAGTATTGTAAAGTAGTGAACTAATATCAAAGCATAAAGAAAAAGAGGGTCAGATTATTTCCTTGATGTGTTTTGTAGGATAGACTCATAGACATTGATTTGTGGGTGCCAACAGTCTATTTGTTTTTCTGTAGACCTCATTTAATGAAACTTAATGTTAAACCAGACAGATAGGACATATGTAGCTGTACAACTACTAGTTCATGAACTCTGCTGTGAAGAGGAAACCTGGAGCATTACAATCCTAGAATGAACGTGGTGACCTCGTGCTTCTTGGTTGAGTTTCCATAAACTGATAAGGGGAGGTATCAGTTCTCAAGAGGTGTGGCGATTTGGTAGTCCCTCTAACCAGCAGGAAGCCATTAGTGTTATCTTGGCCTAATGGTAATTTGTACTGGCATATGATAGTCTCCTTTCTCACATCTAAATTTCACTTATACAAGCTTAAATACCTAATGAAGAAGGTAGTTCTTTTGCTGCCAACTGGTATTTAGGTTCTGCTGGGTTTCCTCTCATCTAAAGATTATTCTTCCAGGCTTTTAGCATATATTTTTTATGAGTCACTGAAACCCATTTCTCTTCATGTGACCTAAAGCATGTGTATTGGAAAAAATACACAATTTTAAGCCTCAATACTGCTATCATTAAATTTGTTATAGAAATGAGATCTAAAAGTTAATCCTTGTCCCTGAGATGTCTCACATAATTGAGCATGTGAACAGCTATGGTGATTGAGATAAGTTGCACGGGTCCAATTTGGTAAGTATGATTGAACAACTATGATTGTAGAATAATTAAAATGATTACAACAGGCCTAGGGAATTGCACACTCTTAAGTTACATAACTGGGCCGCCAGCTTAGTGAATGTGTCCTGAATGATTCAAATTAAAGAGAGAACATGCATTCATATGAGAAATCCTCTGACATCAAGATTGATCTCACCTTCTTCTGACTATCAGTTATTACTCTGGCTTAGTATAGGTTGAAGTTGAGTCATGTCAGACAAGGTTTGAGTCAGCTGTCTTTAGATCGAGTAAATTATTTAACATGGGTTTTTGGAATTTTGGACTTCCTTTGTTGGTATGATATCTTGAATCCAGTTCCAATTGTAAAAAGTTTATCAGAGTTGGTATATTTTGACCTCACAAGAGGTCTGCTTTCTCTCCTGCTTTTTTGCTCTAACTGATTATTTAAATAGATGTAGTCAAGGACTCAAGTTTTTAAATATTAGTTCAGTTACCAATTTTGACAAGCGGTCGGACCAGTATGGTACTGAGATACTGTGTTATATTAATTTGTACTGCTAGGCCATTTTGGAAATTAAATAAAAAATTAAGCGGTGCACCCAGCTGTACCATGTTGTATGGGCCAATATCTGTATTTGATCAGACTGGTACATAACGATCAGTATATACCGGCTCAACCAGTATTTTCAACCATGGATGTAGTTGTCTTTTTCTTGTACTTTTGTGATCCTTGTGATTTCCATCTTGAATATTCATTTACTTTAGCTACACAATATTTGTTGTTCTAGTGATTTTAATTTAAATATTTATAAATTCTAATTTTTAATGTCCTAGTTTGAGTCAAAAGCTTGGATTATTTTGTAGTATATTCAAATTAGTGTATATTTGAATGAGAGCTATGGTATAGGTCAGCACTTATATCTTGTTTTCTACATAATCTTTTTTTTTTATCGTCTCTAGATCATTAGACAGACCAATTTATTTTTGATCAAACTGCCATAAAATTGCAGGAAGTATCACAACACACTACATGCCAATAGATGAAGCATTAAGAATTGGAACAATATCTATTTTAATGTCTAGAGCCCTTTTAACATTTGTATAAGTTGGCAACTGAGCTTGTTTTCTTGTAATGATTAGCATGTTTATTTTTTGTTATTACTACTGCCAATACATTCTTTAATGCTAATGGGAAAATAACAAGTACATTATTTTGGTACTACGCATGATCCTATTAAAATTTCATCAACACTTTCAAATTACTATAATCTGTCTACTTATTGACTCCAGCTCAATCTACTTGTTAACTGCCATGTGTATAGTTGGAGGGGTCTTGAGTTTGCTTTGATGGTGAAATCGAGGATGTTAATGCTTGTAAAATCAAGCAGTGATGATAAGTAGCAGTTTGTTCTACTATTTTCATTTTTCTTTTAACTTCAATGTTCTTCTTTTCTCGTTTCTTTTTTTTCCTTATTTCCTAGTTTGTCTATAATTTGTAGTCATGAATGGCTTTGAACTTCCATCATCTTGCCTTTGTTTTAGTGGTAACTCGTTTCCTTGTTCCCTACTTTCTATCTTCTTAGGGAGAACAACCTCATTGTGGGTTTCCAGAGAAGAACTATTCAATGAATTTGGAGAGATTGACTAGAAAGGTTTCCATTTTCAGAATGTTTGATTTTTTTAATACAATTTTTAGTTATTTCCTTTATTAAGTAATATGAGGATGATAAAAATCATGACTAAATTTATTTGCTTTTGTCAGGGATACCGAGTTCTTGTTGTAGAACAGACAGAAACCCCTGAACAGCTTGAAATTCGCCGTAAAGAGATGGGTTCAAAAGACAAGGTGTGCTGATGCTTAACAGAACAATTATCTTTCTATGTGATAGTACATACTACATAGAACAATCAGTATATTGAATAAAGCTTTCAGTTCTTGGGACAAGCTTGGTTTCAGCATCAATGAATTTGTGTGTTCTATGTATGATTAGTCATTGTTTAACTTCTTGAATTACTAATGGTGGAATTAGTTGAAGCAATTGCAATATGAAATAAAATTAAAACAATTAATAAGATTTTGAATACCATGTTTTGATTTTTTGTAGGTTGTGAAACGTGAAATATGTGCGATGGTCACACAAGGTACACTTATGGAAGGAGAGTCACTATTGAGAAATCCTGATACTTCATATTTATTATCAATTGCTGAACATTTCCGAAGTCTTGAGGTCCCTGGTAAAGGAGGTGTTGTTATAGGCCTGTGTGTTGTTGATGTTTCCACAAGCAAGTTCATGGTAGGACAAGTATGTCACACTGATGATCTTCGACTTACCTTTTCTCTTAAAATGCAATGCAAAATGATAACCATATTTTTTGTTTCTCGATAAACAAACAAATTTTATATTTGTTTAGCACATTCTTAAAATACAAATTCTCTTGTTTCAGTTTGAAGATGATCTGGAGCGTCATTGGTTATGTTCAATATTGTCTGAATTGAGGCCTGTAGAAGTCATAAAACCTTCAAAGGCACTTAGTCCTGAAACTGAAAGAGTCATAAAGAACAATACAAGAAATCCATTAGTTAACAATTTATTGCCTTTTGATGAATTTTGGGATGCTGAAAGAACCATTAATGAGATCAGAAAGTATTATAGCTTATCAGAGCATTATCTGGCAGCACAAAATGGTTGCACTTCTGCTGATAATGCAGGAAATTGTCCAGTAGACCTGCCAGATGTCTTAACTGAGCTAGTGAATGTTGGCATTGATGGATCATATGCTCTTTCTGCTCTTGGAGGCTGTCTTTTTTATTTAAGGCAGGCTTTTCTGGATGAAAAATTGATTAAGTGTGCTAAATTTGAGCGACTTGCATGCTCGGGTTTTTTTAACAACCTTCAAAAGCCATATATGATTCTTGATGCAGCAGCACTTGAGAACCTTGAGATATTGGAGAATAACAGAAGTGGAGGCCTCTCAGGGTACTTCTTAGTTCTTACAATCTTTTGCTGTTCTGAGCTTCTATATAATCTTATTGTAATATTAGTTTTTTTTTAAATGTAGAACACTTTTTGCACAACTGGATCATTGTGTTACAGCATTTGGAAAAAGGTTGCTCAAAGGATGGCTTGCAAGACCACTTTATGATATAAGGTCAATTGTGGAACGTCAGGATGCTGTAGCTTGCTTCAAGGTGGGTTTTGCATCTTCCAAACTGACTAGTTTTACACATTATATGGATTTCCTTTTTCTGGTAATGCTTCTAAAGTTCTATTATTGCACTTGATACTACTAGAGCTCCCACTCCCATGTTCTTCAAAAATTCTCCACCTAAAATATTAGCAAAATTTCTTTTAACAGGGTGTCCTTTGGTATGCATTGGGTTTGGAGGTTTTGAGAACTGAATTTCGAATTGGAATGAGCAACTTTGTTACCAGGTGTTTGATAGGAGGATATCAAATTACAGTTCTGAGTTTCTGTTATTGGAAAAATTGAATCTCCTTTTGGACCATTTGATACCTTGACGACATGGTTGACATTCAGTTTTTCCAGTTGCTCGTGACTTTCAACCAACAACCTGTACAATGGCAAAGAATACACTTTCTATGTATTAAAGTGATACTAAATTGGTTAAGTACATCTCTCTAAATTATTCATCTGATTCTAAATCTTTCTAACCAAGCACATGAAGAGAATGGGCTATTGCATTTCTGGTTTCATGTATGAACTAAATCCACCCATAGTTTTATTTTACATGACATCTTTCTTTCAGTTATTATATAATGCTGCTTCTTTGAACTTCGAAGGAATAGGTTGTATCATTAGCTCATCCTACTCTATCTAAAGATGGCTCATTATTCTTTGATTCATTGTCTTATGATCTTTTCATTAATCAGTAAATATGAAAACAAATATTTGTAATGGCTCTTTGAACCCTAATTTTTTTTGCTTGTATTGTGAATAAGAATATTTAGAACTTCATTTTGGTGTCCAGAAGTACTTCTGCAGTTAGTTTACATTGAAAATCTTCATGACTGAACCAGTTTTATCATATACAATTGTTTACTAATTCTTTCCTTCTTGCCAAAGTTTATTTTAACCAGTATCAACAAGTATTTCATTTTGAGATATCGACGGGAAGCTTGTAATAGGCTTTTCGTCCCTTGAAGTTCATAGTTTGTGTAAATCAAAAGTTATGAACCATTTCAAAAAGAATTTTTTTGTGAATATTAGTAGCATGAGATTTATAGTTAACTTATTATACCCAGTGCTCATATAAATGCCCAGATTTCAAAAAGATTCATTTAGCAGTAATATATTGCTAATATTCTTCCACTGACTAGATTGCAGACAGGTGCAGTACAGTATATGGACCTGTAATGACAGAAAAATAAAAAAATAGAAATAAGCAGATATACTTGTTAGTTTTCTTCTTTTTCTTGCTGGAGTTCATTGTTGGTGCTGGAGAGGAGTCTCGAACCCAAGGAAGCTTCTTCCTTATCTTTGACGACTCCAACTTTTTCTACACTCCTTTGGTTGTTGTGGTCTCATCGAAGTACATAAAAAATCAGTGGAGAAAAGGATTGCATCCAAAGAAATGAATTGGCGTTTCTTGAAGTGGCCTTAGTTGTTCTATGCAGTTAGTGATGCAATGACTTTGTAGCTGGTCTACATCTTATCGTTTTTGAGCAGATATTGACGGAAATTCATGGTAGATAGCCAATATTATCTGGTACATCCAATTATTACTTCATCTACTATTTCCTGCTTGTACTGGTAGATAGTGGTTGATTATCTTTTATGTTCAATGCCAACTGGTATTTTAATCCTTGATCCATACCAATTAGTTAGAATTAAATTTAGGGCTTTACATTATACTCTTCCATGATAAACTTGGAAAAAATGATTGTATAAGTAGCCATATCTATGCATAGTAAACCCATGACATGAATGAAGAAGACATAGCCAAAGAAAATAAGCCAGGGAGCTGACAGAATATTATAGGTTGAACGTGTTCTCTGAGATCCACATGTTCGTGGTAATTAGATCTAGCAAAATGAAGGTGAGGGGATCTAATTGACCAACTGGTCTTGAAACTGGATTATCATTTGAGAACAATATGTTCTGTTAATTTTCAGTAATTTACAATCTATTGAATTTTCTGATTCACTTTCCACAGTATTTCATATATTTAAGTTAAGTGCTGCCGCAATAAGTAATTTTTTTATCAAAGTTCTTACAACTTTGTGACTAAGATTGTTTTCGCATCAGGGTGCTGGTCTTACATCTGCTCTTGAATTCAGAAAGGAATTATCAAAGCTTCAAGATATGGAACGTTTGCTTTCACGACTATTTGTTAGCTGGTAAATTCTATTCCCTAAATATGTGAATGATGAGTCTGCTCATCTTGTAAGCTCATTTGATCTTCTTACAATTATTAGATATTTTAAAGGTATGTGTATTAGGTTAATGATGCAATTTTGTATCTGATCCTATATTGTCTGTGTTCTTTGTATGTTCTTGTTTCATTTTCTTCATTTTTTCCTGAGTTGCAAATTGCAATAATAGAGAACCAAGGTCTTAACTCTTGGAAGTTATTGCCCAATATAGGGCAGCACTTCTCATGTTTGATAACTGTAGGAACTTGAATGGTTGGTCTCGGGGTTTTAACAGGTTCATGGATGTATCAGAAAGCTTTGAACCCTTCTGCATATGAATAAAAAAGTTTCACATTTGTCGGCGATGTGTCAAGCAAGACTCCGATCCTTTACTGAAGTGGATGGGTCTATATCAGAAGTCTCATGTATAGATTTGATCGTGTATGCTGGATACTATTTAAACATGTTCTTATTTTTTGCGGGTTAAGGATTTATCATTCTCTCATGTGGACACATGGAGGAATGGTAAAGTTTGCCACATCTTTTTGGATCAGGAAAGTTGCTGGAGGAAAGGATACGGAGGTTAGGTGAGACGTCTTTTATTTTTTTTTATTTTTGCTTTTCTAGTCCAAATCACAATAGTGATGCTGACAATTGGCATGGTACAACGTACCAGAACAAATTTTAGTGGTTGGCCAATGAGTTAAGCTGCCCTGAATTAAATATTTGGTGGGATTTAGAAGACACGAACCAAATGTAAGGTGTCAGATTTGGCTAGGATTATGAAGCCTTTATCAGCCCTTGTGTAGTACAGACTGCAGTCTTTATTTTAATTAGACATCAACTACTAATGGTTTCACATTGTCTTCTTTTGTATGCATTTATGATAAAATTTAATTCAGGTTCATCCTTCCAAGTAATTTCAACTTGTGTTTTCTTTATAATAAGTTTGTTAGATTAGTTGCTCTCTCAATGGTCATGGTGATTTTCCGGTAGTGTCACTATATCAATAGAGATCTGGCTGGGAGATCAAAACTTAACACAAAGGTCAAAGGTAACTATGAGAAAACCTTACATATTCAGAGATGAATTTATTAAGTTTTGTTCCACGAATGATTCTTAAAGGAGAAAATTTTCTCCAGAGCTTCCTATATAGTTTACTGGTCTATGTTTCTTTTTTTCCCTGCTTCATTGATGGAACTCATCCAATTCATGCTTGACTCTTCAAATTGTTCAAAATTTCAAATCTGTAGCAAACTCGAGAATGAATTGCAACCTGATCTGAATCAGGTAATTAAACTTTGGAAATATATTGGGCACAATGCATACAAAGTGATTAGTAGATTAATCCTTTAGCTTAAAATCTTTCCCAAGTGACAATAGTCATATATCCGAGTCAATTTGTAATTATTCTTTAATGTATTCGTGGTGCAGTATTGTTGACTATATATGGTTTTGAATCAAGATAGATGAGATATATAAGTTGCTAAGCTAGTCTTTTCTATTAAGCTAGTTGCTTATGCACTGGAATCCTGAAAACAATAGTACCAATATTTTACTTGCATAAACAAACACATCACATCCAAAGTTTATAACAAACAAACATAAAACAACAGAATTCATGAAAAGCTTTTCTATATAAAGATAACTATATCTCCTGGTTGTTTATTCCTGTATCCTATATTGCTGTCAGAAAGTATATTACAAAAATTTTCTTAGATCGACACAAAGTGAAAATAGAAAGCTATTAAAGAGTGAAATCAATCCAAATGAGTTCTGCAAAGGGCAGATGTTGGACTTCTGTAGGTTGTTTAGATTGTTTGGAACGTCACCATTGTGTTAAGCTTGTCTTTTATGGTTTGAGTGCTTGCTTTCTGTATGCAACCCGCAATGGTAATTAAACCAGATGAGCAATGCCAGCAACCAATTTCTTTATTTTGCATAATAAAATAACGGTGCCATTATTTTCTTGTACTTTTATTTTTGACAAGGGGAAGTTAATATTAGTGGTGAGGTGAGATTCTATCCTAGGACTTCGGCCTCACTAACAAGAATCAAGTTCTTTTTCTAGCAGAAAATAAACTTTACCAGCAGAAGCTAAAGATGGCACAAAATATCACCGTTCGCATCAGAGCGAACCAAAAAATCCAGCTGTGCTGGAGGGTCCTGAACCCACAAAAGGGAACACTTGTTTTCCCTTGCAAACTTAGGTTTTCAAGTTTCTCATGTTTTTCGTGAGAAACTTCTTGGACATGTATACAATGAGCTTCTGATAAGATATAAGTATCCTCTGGGGAAGGTTTGTTCCTTGCACAGCAGATCAACAAAAATGGCAGAAACAGTCTCCACATGAAGTCATGATTCCCCTTCTACATGACATAAATGATCCCTTGATTGCTGCTGCTTCACAGTGCAAGCTATCACGATCCTCAAGGAACCTGCATCCAAGCAAAATAGGACAAGCAGTATCATGACCCTATAAGAATCAAATATCTTTACCATCACTGTTTGTACCTCAATTGGTTTAACTGTATTGATTGTCTTTTTTTTGTTATTTCATAGCAAGTAACTCCAAAGTGAAGAGTGGTACAACAACCATTAGTACATGAGCCCATGATGGAGTCTTAAGTGTTGGATATTAGGAGCAGAGATGCATGCATAAACTTAAATGATGCATGGTGGGGTCGAAGGGCTACCTTGACTTGGTCGGCACATCGGTATAGACTGGTAAGGCGAACCATGCTTATGACAAACAACTTTCAAGTTTTCTAATACCTTATACCTTTTTTCGGGGTAGTTAATGTGGAGAGCATCTGAACCTTATTTATAATATATCAAAATAAATCACTTGTTATTCAATACCTTTACCATCATCTAGTCTCTTGTGCTTTCTTGTGTTTGAACAGTTGATGCCAGATTTGTTTCCAGCAAGGATTCAACACGTTCAGTTGAACGAAAATCCTCTCTTCTGGCATAGTCAATAATGACACTTTTCCTATGAAATCCTAATTGCAGTTAATGTGGAAAAGGAAACCATATTTTATGGGTTTATGTTGCTTTTTTCTAGGCAGGACTGACAATTTTCCTCTATATGGAAATACTTAATTGCATTCCATATTGAACCTACACCTATTGTCTTTCCATTCTTCTAAAGCCTTTATACCTAGGATTGGTCAAACATACACAGATTTTGTAATTTTGTATGAAATATTTAAATTTTTATTTAAGAATGCTGTGATTTGATATTTATCAGTTGTAACTGAGGAAAGTGTAATTTCTTCTTGGAGATGATTATTCAGGTGAATAGTGTCATGTAGGTGTATTATGTGCTAGATGCTTAATTCTGCTTTTGATGCACTACAGTGAAGCTCATGGAAGAAATGCCAATAGAGTCATTCTTTATGAGGATGCAGCAAAGAAGCGGCTTCAAGAATTTATTGCGTCTCTTCATGGTTGTGAAGCAATGATCCAAGCATGCTCTTCCCTGGATACTGTACTGACTAGTACAGAGTCTACTTTACTCCATTATTTATTGACACCAGGTCTGATTTGTAATACCTGAAATTCAGCATGTTGATCTTGTTTTTCCAATTTTCTTTCGCTTTGCAGTTAAGTTGTTTGTGTACATTTTAGAGCATTAAATGTCAATGCAGGTAAAGGCTTACCTGACATGTGTTCAGTCATAGAGCATTTCAAGGACGCTTTTGATTGGTCAGAAGCTGATCGCACTGGGCGTATTATACCTCATGAAGGAGGTGATGTTGATTACGATGCTGCATGTAAGAAACTGAAGGACATTGAGTCTAATCTGATGAGGTACCTGAAGGAACAGCGTAAAGTACTTGGAAATTCAGAGGTTTGTTGTTTTTTTATTACTTGGATTGGAGGTTGATCTTATATAGATCTGTAGCAGATCTCCAGTATCTTATTTAAACGATGAGGCTTAATATATTTCTAGGTAAATTATGTTGCTGTTGGGAAGGATTTGTATCTGCTTGAGGTGCCAGAGAGTCTAAGGGGAGCTGTTCCAGCTGAATACGAATTGCAATCTTCTAAAAAGGCACATGATTTTCTGAATACTTGTTAGTGGGTCTAAATTAATTTTATATTCTGTGGTGTGTCGGTTAATCTTAGGTTTGTATTCTCCATGTATAGGGCTACTTCCGGTATTGGACACCTAAAATCAAAGATTTCCTGTCAGAACTCTCTCAAGCTGAGGCCGAGAAAGAATCTAAACTGAAAGGCATTCTCCAGAGGCTGATAGGACAATTTAGTGAGCATCATAGCAAATGGAGGCAGTTGGTATCTGTAATTGCAGGTGCTTTCTTATATATACTTTAAATAAATAACCAACATCTTCTGATCTCAGCTACACCAAGTGACACGTCTTGTTGTTTACAACTCACTCTGCTTCTAGGCATACTGCACTCACTGCCAGAAATTTTACTGATTTACATATATACAGCTATGCTAAACTGGAAAATTTGTTAACATTATGTATTGATCTTTGCATTTGAAGACTGTAATATAGACATAAGCTTTTTATGGAGTACGGTTCAATCTCCGGATACATAAGATTAAAAACATCTGTGTATTTATTTTTTCATTTAGAGAAAGCATACTGATGTAAGGCTAGTTCCTTCGGTACCAAATTTAATATAGAACAAGATCCATTGAAGGCTCTTACGAGTAAAGAAATAGTCTTTTATAGACTTTATAGTTGTGGAATAAAGAAAAGTAAATATTAATGGAGATTAAAATAAAAATAAAAAGATAAATACCAAACTCACTCTAATTTAAAAATTAACTCCTAAATATAGATGCCTCACATCTATTTACATTATGTTCATATGCCACTCAGATATACGTGATGTTAGAAAAACAACCTGTTTATTTATTTGTTGATTGATGTCTTTGTTTTAAATCCTTTACCATTTTCTTATTGGATTTGGAGAATGATCTTTATTTTAATGGTATTTTTGATTAATAGGTTATCTTTGTAGAATGGTGAAATTTTCTTATAGAGATGAAATCCTCAATCAAGATTTGTATTAAAAATTAATTTTTGGTTTCTTTCACTTTTTTATTTTCTTTCTTTTTCTTCTCGATTCAATTTGGGCCACTAAATTTGAAGCATCGAAGATGCTATATGGAAACATATGACATTTGTGAAATGCGCTATAAACTAATAAGATTTATTCAAATGAGAAATAAATTTCAATGATTTTGTTTCACAAGTAGTTATTTTATGTAGATTATCATAATCCGTCATGTATCATTTATATATTGCAGCTCCATGATATTTACAACTGGTTTATATTGATTGTAGAATTGACTTCTGAGCAAGGTTTGTCGTACCAAAGCATACCGCCCGTACTGGGCGGTACGTACCGGTCCGACAGGTTATCGATATGCGGACCGTCCGGTACCGCTACAGTGCTATAGTATGAAAAAATAAAAAATTATTTGGTACACCAGGGTGTACCGCTCAGTATGCCCTGATGTACCGCCCGGTACATCGGTATCGTATTGTACCGAGCTCGGGTCGAAACATTGGTACGATACGGTACAACGAATCTTGCTTCTGAGTCACTCCGTGGTGTTAGAATGATATTTAATGTCACATACCAAATAGCAGAAAATAAATTTGGTTTAATTTTTTAGACTTTGTTAACTTCAGGGGCTGTTTCCATAGGTAGTCAATTGGTACGAACATACGAGATGAGCGAAAGGCTAAGCATAGTTTTCTTTCAGTTGTACAATAGCTATTTTGTGGGGTTTAAAGTGAAAAAGCACCTGCATAAGTGGTGAGTTGGAACTACTGGATGACATATATTTGTAATGATGACAAGCAAGAATTGTTATATTGTGTAGCTGTTTCACACTTGTCCTTGGATAGACTGTCATGTACACAATGAAGCCTAAATTAACTATGGATGTAATGTAACTACAGTACGAATGAAGCCATAAGTCTCAACTAGTTGAGGTCAGTAACATGGTTCATTTTATGTCATTTAGCATTGCACATGAATGGCATCATGTGTTTGCACAGGGGCCATTATCTCCTATACTGCTTCTTATGGTCTTATACCCACTAATACCCCTATGAAGCTTCGATGTGGACACGACAAACACAATAAGGTGTAGACATGGCAATACGACGAGTCTCTAAAAGGGACACAAAACAGAGTGACAGGAATCAGAAGAATATTTTTTTAAAAAAATTTGAATACATATTTTGTTTGAACATATTGGCAAAATATGATTGGAAAATCATAAATACAGAAATACAAATAAATAAGCCCTCATGAGATTGAACTTGTTCTTTTTTAAACTTGTTCTTCCTGTGTGCACGCACTAGATTGAAGCTTTTTTTTTTCCTGATATGCAGTAAAAATATAGGAATACAATCCTGTAGATAAAAACCAAAGCAATCCAAAACATGTAATTAGACACAAAAAGTGGTAATTTAAGTGTCTTGGCCAACTTTGATCTTTTTGTACCTATTATAATCTTGAAACTTTGGGATTAATTGGTTGAGGAATTAAGTTTGTATTACAATGTATTTGTTAGAGCAAGTGAGCCAGTAACTATTATGATTTTATTAGCATTTTTCTATATGAGCTAAAGTGTTGTCTATAAATTCTGTTCATACTTGATACAGAGCTAGATGTTTTGATTAGTCTGGCGATTGCAAGTGACTATTATGAGGGACCAACATGCCGACCAGTTATCAAAGAAGTATGTCATGAAAATGAACCTTATTTATCTGCTAGAGGTCTTGGACATCCAATGCTTCGAAGTGATGCCTTAGGCAAGGGTTCTTTTGTTCCCAATGATGTAAGAATTGGTGGGGTTGGACAGCCTAGATTTATCCTTCTGACAGGTCCAAATATGGGTGGTAAATCAACTCTACTTCGCCAAGTTTGTTTAGCTGTAGTTTTGGCACAGGTAGGATTCTTCACATAGTCTATCTATTGTTTCTCCATTTACCTTCTGATCATGCCCAGTTATTCCCCACAGCTTGGAGCAGATGTTCCTGCAGAATGTTTTGAGCTCTCCCCTGTAGACCGCATCTTTGTTCGTATGGGTGCTAGGGATAATATTATGGCTGGGCAAAGTACATTCTTAATGGAGCTTTCGGAGACCGCTGGTGTGCTGGTGAGATTTTCTGACAAAGTGTATTGAAAACGTGGGACATTATCCTTGATAGTTTATGGTTAAAAATTTGGACTTTCATTTTGGCATACATTTTAATTATGGCTGCTGGACTAAACCACTGTAATATCTTTAATACAGTCTTCTGCCACTCAAAATTCTCTGGTGGCACTAGATGAGCTCGGGAGGGGCACAGCAACTTCTGATGGGCAAGCTATTGCGTGAGTGCTGCTCTTATATAAATTTCTTTTCTCCCAATTGCTATTAGGGTGTCACTAGTGAGGCTTGGCACATTACGATTGTCTGCTGGTATCCCAACAACACTGCAAAATATCAGGCACTTGAATGTGCTGTCATCACATGCAATCCATGCTAGAAACTGACTTGCAGTCTTGATTTTTTCCTTGTAGTGGATTAATTTTTATCTGCTTAAATTAGCTTTGAATGACATTTTCTTTGGTTCTCATTGAATGGCAGGGCATCCGTCTTTGAATATCTTGTACATAGAGTACAATGTCGTGGTTTGTTTTCTACTCATTATCACCGATTAATACTAGAATATGAGAAGAATACCAAGGTAGACCTCTAACCTCTTTATTTATTATCGACAAGTTTTGAGTATTTCTTTTACTTGCAATAGGTTTCAATTTGTCACATGGCTTGCCAAGTTGGGAAAGGAGTTGGAGGTGTGGAAGAAGTCACCTTCCTTTACCGATTAGCACCTGGTTCATGTCCTAAAAGTTATGGTGTTAATGTTGCTCGTTTGGCAGGTGGGGTTTCCTCTTAATCCTTTTTCATCTCCCTTTAATATAAATTAGCTTTAAGCACAACTCTGCAGCTAAATAGTGCACATAGAAGGATCCTCTAAATGTTTGATTTCAAAAGACATTTTGAATCATTAGTTTGTCAATCGATTTAGCTTTTTGCTGATCCTGTTTGCCAAATCAGGATTACCTTCTTCTGTGCTTCAAAAGGCCGCCAAGAAGTCAAATGATTTTGAGATTAGTAATGGGAAGCACCAGCCTGTAGCTGAGGTTAAGATTTCAGATACGGAAACCGATGAGGGAAGAACTCTTATAAAAAAATTGCTCTCTATTTCAGAGACCTGGAATCTTGGTGAAGATTCTCGGGTGGTTACTTTGAGCTTACTCGGTGATATCCAACAGAGAGCAAGGTGGCTAGTGCTGGGCAAATAAAGATCATTGGTTTTTGACATTTGACAAAGTTTTCTTAAATCATCTGTGATATTCCTTTTGAGTCTAATTCGGGGCCTCATTTTGGGCGTCTAGAGGTCCTTGGAGCCCAGATTATACATCACAAGATTGATATGGGATTGATGACAACTGCAAGCCGCCGTGTACTCATCACTGGTTTTGTGGAAAATTACTCGACTGTAATGTAAAGAAATAGATGATTGTATATAAGGGCAAAGACATGTTTATGCTGGGAAAGTTGGCAGCTGTTTGCTGCTTTGTAATTGAATTCACTAGTCTATTGAACAGGCCAACCTGGTAGTAGCAACGCTAAAGTGGGGACTTATTCTGTGGACGTTTATTTGGTCAGCATATTGAATTCTGGTGATAGGTGCCCAAATTTGATGAAATTATTTGGTTTGATTGTTGTCTTATTCTGTGTTTGATATCAGATTTACTTGCCAAAAGTGAGGGTGTACTAACAATTAATCATGATCAGAGAGGATAAGACGAAGGAAAGATGATCATAAGTTTTATTTTCTTATTTACGAGGAAAAAGATAATTTCAAATTTTTTATATTTTTAATAAAAGCTCACATAGAAAGTTAGAGCAAAGTTGGAGTCATTAGTCAAGGAATCTCTAGATAAGGCTCGATCCGATTGTCAAAGTTGGAGCAATACTCAGATACTCTTGGAGGAGAATAGTGTGTAGAATCTTCTTCTCGTCATTAATGAAGAGACAAACAATGATAAGTTTTCTTCTCACCATTTACTCTACTTCTCTTTAGGATAAGTATAAATACTCATCTTTAATATAGGGAAAGTGAGATGACTTCTCCTAAGTACTCGTATCCATGCTCATATATATTAGATTATTAACTTCTTATAACCTCAATTTTCGTATAGGTGACACATTGAGAGCATAATGTTTTCATCTCAAAGATATTTTGAATAATTCTGTACATACATATTCAAAATACATTCAAGATATTTAACAATATTTTTTTCTTTAAAAAATAATTTTACCATTTAGCATGATCGTGCAAAGAAGCTTTTTATTCTCTCAGTCTTGTCCCTTATTCTGAGCTTTTCCTGAGCAGATAGGATAGAATGGTACGGATAAATGAAAGCGAAAAGATATGATTATTCGAGTACATGCAAGCAGACAAGTGAGTGAATGCCACACTCGTAGTCATTATAGAAATGCTGAAGTTAAAATAAATAATTCAAATGGATGTGATCAACTTCAGTTTCGGCTTTCCATGTCATCTATGATCAATCTGATTCAATGAAGTTGTTCTAGGCGACAACATCATAATGATCTTTATGTCGTAGTGCTCTAAGAATAAGCAATGGGTCCCTCTATTCTGATATTTATTGATGCATACTGCACGTGGCAGGCAAGTAGAGAAACACTTCTGTGCCTTTGGAATCTGTTCCACCCACCTCTGATAGATAGAGAAGAATTGATACTCATGCACTGCAGTGTTCTTTCTTGATCAAAACAGTAATCAATTCATTAGGAAGACCAATAAATACTATGCCCAAAACAGCTTATGCTTTCCTTTTTCCCTCATCAACCATGTGAGATATCTGTATCTTCAAGGAACAGCATTTTGTGAGATGCATGATGGCTCAAGAGTTGCCCATGAAGGAAGGGTGCAAGGAAAACTAACTGAAGAAGAAGGCAAAGGAGAATCATGCAACCCAACCCTCCTGGCTTCACTCAGAATCAGATTCTACAGCACAAAGACTCAGAAAGAAGAAACAGAGAAGGAATCCACCCATAAATATATCCCACTTTCAGCTTTATAGCTTCCCTTTTCAAGCATCTTCTCTTCTCCCACTTCTCCCCCTGCCACAAGCCATTTCTGCTTGATGTCACACAAACACCAGGCAAGTTCCATTGCAGCACTTCATTGTCATTGCAGATCATGTCGCCTGACAATTCTCTGGCTTTGCTCAGTTCATCTGCATGACTATGAGAATGAACATCGACTGCGATGGCTGCTACCGAAAGATCAGGAGAGCTCTTCTGCAAATGCAAGGTTATATGTTGGAACTCTTCATGACGACAGGTTGAGCTTTCGTGTTGGTTGTGTGTTCTTCTCTAAGGTGACCCCGTTGTTTCTTGGTTCGTTTGGGTATGAAGAGTTGGAGAGCCATTTGATCGAGAGGAAGCAGTGCAGGGTCAGCGTGTGCGGGTCGTTCGTCCCCCAGGATATGGCGATCAAGATCAGGAGGAAGACGAATCGACGGGTGGAGATCTTGGAGATCAAGGAAGTGGAGGCAAGCCATGATGGCGGCACAGATCCCAAACCCCCCTCATGAATTATAGCCGATCCCAAACCCTCGTATAATGCATACCAGACACATGGTAAGGTGTAATATTTCCTTGAAAGAAGGATCATTGCTATCAGCTCCTAGTTTCTGGACATCCCCAGCCATGCTTTGATCATACTCCTTACTTGCTTAACATGTCCAAAGATCTCGATCACTAAATAATAAAATCCTATTAGGATATTAGGGTAAGATGTTTGGCATGGATTCTTCTCTCCCTGACATAAAATGGTTCAACACTCAAATGGCTGAGGAAATGTTGTTACAATTCCCAAATCACTCTCATATGCATGATTGAACACAAGATTGGAGCACCTGTCCAAGGATATGCCAATGAAACATTTGAAGATAATGTGCTCAAATGGACTTCAAAAATTCGAATCCAATTGCTAAACCACTAAGTTTTGAACAAGCACAAGGAAACTTAGAAGGCAGGTAAAGCAATTCTTACTTCTTTGTTTCATACCATCTTTTGAAGCTTTCTTTATGGTAGGATTATTCTCCTTTATGAAATCCTCTGCTTGAGCCTGAGATATAGAGAGAGGAGAGAAAATTACTATCCACTTCTACCAAGATTCAGAATAATTCTACCCCAAACTCTATCAAATGAATTTATTATCCCCTTCAGTCTCATCTAACTATTTTGTTACACTTTTTTTTTTTTTTTGCAATTTTAGAAGAGATGGGAAAGGATAACACAGCCATGCAACAGAAAATTAGGCTGGAAACATGAGTTAATTTGATGTTTATGGGACCTCAAGAAGCTAAATTGGGCATATATAACTCTGTATCTATTTCTTCTTGTTTTCTCAAGATGACTGTGCCCAAGTTTTGAACCTCAATAGCAAAAAACTATTTGGAATGCCTATTCATTTCTGCAAAATGCAAACTTCATTTTTCTAACATTAAATACAGCAAAGCGACTTAATATTCAGCAGAGTAACTTCAAGGAAAATTTGAAAACGAATACCCCCCTTTACTGTGAGTAAACAACAAATACTAGCAAGAGTATCATGTCTCCGGACTAGCGCACATACCCTCATGCCCTGTATATGCATCGACTTCTGGTTACATATCGAGCCATGCAAACCCACGAGATTGCTTATCCTATAGTATCAAACCACACACCAAGCTAGTTTGACATGTATGGGTATGTTGCGAATATAGGAATATTTGCAACCTCTTCATTCAAGAGAATATCAGCCTTAAATGGGTGCTTCCATTACTTTTGGTTTCTAATTCCTTTTCGCAAACATATAAGGCCAGAAAAAGTCCATCATAGTTTTAATTTTCCTAAATCATTGTCTTGGGAGGTAGGCCTTCCCTTGTTACCACTCCATTTTTCAAACACATTTCTTTATTGTGTTTGTAGTAGGAACAGTATTCAAACCAAACTGTCTCAATCAAATCAATAATAGAACAACTAAACTCCAAATCTTCCTAATGGATCCTATGTCATACATGAATACCTAATTTACAAGATTAGCTTAAGAAACTACAATTTGGAGGCTTTCATTTCTTAAAGAACAAGGATAAAAAATTAACATTGACAAAGTACAAATTAATACCATATTCCAAATAGATATTATACATCAAATGTTAGTAGTATGCTTCATCCATCACTAGTTGTAATCCAACATGACCAAACACAATGTATATTTTCAACATGCCAATCTTTATAATGAACAAAGAAGATACCTGCAACCAAGCAATTTCAGGTTCTCATGTACTACAGGTGACAGATCAATAAATGTCATTGCAATATGAACACCCACAACTCTACTGAATTAACACAGCCAATTCAAATTCACCTATAAATGTCTGCCATAATTCAGTGCGATGCTCACCAGGTTCTCATGTACTACAGGTGATAACACCTACAGGTGACAATTCAAATTCACATACATAGGTTCTCATGTACTACACGATCCAGATGAACAAATGTCGTTGCAATATGAACACCCATAACTCTACTGAATTAACAGAGCCAATTCAAATTCACACACACACATACACACAATACACACATATATCTCATGAAAAGCACCATCAATAGATAAGCTTCACAGACTATGTATGTTCCTCTTAAATAGCTGGCATATAAGCATAAAAGAAAGCATGATGTGCATGAGCCACATCTTAATTTGAAGTGGTTGTGGTACAGGATAACCCAAGCTTGTTTAATAATATGAAACATCTGCTTTTTGTATACAAAATTACAATGTGTTCATACAATACATGTTTTATGTGCTTAATGTGTTTTATAGATTATAAGAATGCCTCTGGGAATGTTAACACCCAATAAAAGATTTTAATGTCCCAGTTGGTTTCAAGTTCTAGTAGATATGCACTGCACCAATGACTATTTACTAGTCTGAGCAAGGTCCGGTGTCAGTATTAATTTTCAAAAAAAAAAAGGTGATCTGTCAGGTATTACCGGATAATGTGCATAAATATAGCATGCTCTGCTGAATATGAAATGACACAACCACTGAAGCATGATGGAACTTTACTGTAACTAGGCTGAGAAACAATATTAAGAACCCAAAACTTGTGTTAAGTACTCGGGAAGAACAACACCCATTAGAAAACAGGAAATCAGATTTTCTTTTTCCTTTTCAAATGCATCAATCAATGTCCAGCAACACCGAACTTATCATTAGAAATCTAGTAAATACCTGATTACCTATCCTCCAACTTGTTAGGTTGAGGATTCAAAACCAATAAGGTTCAATATCGTGCTAATAATTTAAACTTCTCACTTTATTAGAGAGAAATTTTTGCGGTAAAGAAGAAAAACCACTTCACAACCAATCTTAAAAATAACAAGCATATGATCCTCTCGAGCAATGCCTTCAATTCATTCTATACAATATTCGCATACACCACCCACAACGAATCCAAGAACCATGCGCATTAATGTATAACGAGAAGAACCAACTAACATAATCAGCAGAATAACAGAGAAAGCTGCCTTAACTTCAACTCATTCTTAACCTGCTGAAATCATCATATTTCAGCAAAAAGAAGTAACCAAAATAGTCCAACAGTAGGAACCAGTTCAATATTTGGTACTAACACACTGCAATTGTGCCACAATCAAGGACAAAGCAAACTCATTATTCTCCATGCGAAACAAAGAAGGAAGGGGCAAGAAAGGATTACAAGATTGGTCGGCCATCGTTGACTACGCCTTCTTGTAGCGTTCTACCTCGCCCTCGTTCGGGAAGAACCCCATGAGGCGGCCAGCGGAGTTCTGGTAAGCGTACATAAACCCACCCATGACGCCAATGAGGCCGCCGGTCACCATCGAGGGCCCCCGGATGTTGGGCTTGATCCCTGCCACCGAGATCCCGATCCGATGAAAACCCATATCCCTAACCCTAATTGCGGAATAAAGAACAACAAGAAGAAGAAGGATAGAGAGAGAAAGAGAGAATAGAGAGAGAGCGTACCGGAGAGGTAGCCGACGGTGACGGAGATGCCGGTGATGGTGGAGAGGCGGAGGTAGTCAAGGGTATTGAAGTTACCAACGGTCTTGGTGAAGGGCGGGTTGCGATCCACCACCGGGTACTCCGGCTTCACCGACGCTGTGATATCCGTGTTCATCCCGCCGCCTCTTCTCAAAAACCCTCTCACGGTCTCTGTGTATTACTCCGATCTCTGTCACGCACAGAGGAAACGAATTGAGAACCATGGAGAAGATATTTGCGTTCACGATCCAACCACGTGCTCGAGTCACGCTAAGGGTTTATGGAGTCTGGCCCGTGGTGCGGCCCAACACGGGCCACAAGTTTCTGGGCCGGCCCAATTCATGGGCTAGGTTGACTTTCTTTCGTTATTTTTGACGGACAATTTTTCTATTTAATAATATATTTATTAATATTATCTAAAATCTTTAATAAGATAAAATTATGATGAGTTGGCCTTAAATTACGAGTATCTCCAAGCGCTCATCTGCTTCTTTCCGCCGGTCTTCGGCCTCCCATTAGCCACGTTCAGTAGCTCGGTCCACGTGTCTCATGAGTTCATAGCCGTCGTCATCGTCCCCCGTCCATGTTCTCGACACAGCATTAGTTCAGCTTGAGACCGCAGCACGAGCTGCCACCCGCACTTCGCATTGCGAGCGAGCTATCAGAGTCGTCTCTGTGATGAGCAACACGTTTTCCATCCGGTGAATCTATACCCGCTCAGTTACACGCGTGGACAGTGGAGGTACGAAACGGAGCCCACGTGGGGCCCGCGAGAATAAAGTGCCGAGAAAAAGCAGTGCTTTCGCTATCGCCCGCTTCCGAGAAAGCACAGTCTCCCCTTCGTCGTCAGCTTTGGGGTCGTCAACGCGGCTTGTTCTAGTGGTCTAAAAAGCCGAAGTAACGTACGAGAACGGAGCATGATTAGAAAAGCGATACAGGTACGATTCACATTCGCTGGCCACATTTGTCGCCCCGCAATCCTTATTGCATCGGATCGTGGATTTCCCTCCGATTCGTCGTCGTTGATGAAGAAACCCAAGAAGTTGTTGGAGAGCCTTATCAAGCCCTTCTTCGGCAGCAAAAATGGTAGATCCTTGCTTCTTCTTCTCCTCCTCCTCCCGGGATTTTGAGTTCGTTTCTTGCTCGAATTGACTTGCTGTGATGGTTGCAGAGGGCAAAAAGGAGGACTTGGAGGCGATCGCGGCCAAGGAGCAGAAAGTATTCAGGTATGAGACGCTGGTGGCGGCCACTCGCAACTTCAACCCTAAGCAGAAGCTCGGGGAAGGGGGATTCGGTCCGGTCTTCAAGGTAGAGCATGTGCAATTGATTGACGATGATTAATCGGGGGATTCGGATCGGGAGGACGCGGGAGAGGAGGATGTTGCTTGTTGATCGATGATAAGTGTTTCTCGTGCAGGGGCTGCTGGAGGATGGGCGGGAGGTGGCGGTGAAGCGGCTGGGGCGGTCGTCGCGGCAGGGGTCGAGGGAGTTCCAGAACGAAGCGATGCTGTTGTCCACGGTGCAGCATAGGAACGTGGTGACCCTCCACGGCTACTGCGCCCACGCCGACGAGCAGCTCCTCGTCTACGAGTACGTCCCCAACGAGAGTCTCGATAAGCTCCTCTTCTCCAGTAAGCGCCCACCAACCTCCTCCTCCTCCGCCGCCGCCTCCTCCCTATTTTATTTTATTGTTCGCCTCATTTTGCAGTTAAAATTATTATTCATTTCAGAAAAAAGAACAAAAAAAAAATCGGATTTTTTTTCGTCTGTAAAGCGCGATGTTTCACACTCTCTGACTTAGGCTCCACATACATGAAGGATCGATTTGATGGGAGTTCTATTTTACCTTTTTGTGTTGAATTCCTTGCATCTGGACATCACCATTGTCTAATTTTTTATCCTTCCTCGACCCGAAGGATAGCTTGTTATTCCCATGCATCCAAGAGTGGAGCTCAACAACTTTGACTAGTCTTCCGCTGATGATTTAACATTACCTGTTTGAATCTAACTGGAGTGCAACCGTTCAATGGATTCCTCTTTACTGTTCTTTAAAACATTTTACTCGTGTTTATGATGATAGTTGCCATTTTGTAATGTCGTTGTGCAATCTCTTGTTCCCTGTGGGAAAGCAGAGGAGGGTAATTCGAAGAAGGTGGAGCTGGAATGGAAGCTAAGGTATCAGGTGATGGTTGGGGTGGCTCGGGGGCTGCTGTACCTACACGAGGATGCGCACACCACCATCATACACCGTGACATCAAGGCCAGCAACATCCTGCTGGATGACCGATGGGTCCCTAAGATTGCGGACTTTGGGATGGCACGCTTGTTCCCCGAGGATCAGACCCATGTCAACACTCGTATTGCCGGCACCAACAGCTACATGGCGCCGGAGTACGCCATGCACGGCTTCCTCTCCACCAAGGCCGATGTCTTCAGCTTCGGTGTCTTGGTCCTTGAGCTCGTATCAGGCAGAAAGAATTCTGCATTCAGTCCCCTCCCTGACCCTGATGCTGACAGCCTTCTTGAATGGGTATGCCTACTTCCTCCTCGATAAGTATATTACTGCATTCTGTCTAAATGTCTAATTCAGGTGACCTGAATTATTACTGATAAGTTTTCTTTCTAGTTAGACCTTACCCACTTGTTGAAAAGCATGATGATGAGTGGTCTGGTCATGTTATTGTTGGATTTCTATTACTATCAGCTGGCAAAAAAGTATCACTGTTAAGGTTTTGTTTTGTCAAACCTTAACATGGTCAACACTTTCCAAAGTACAAGAGATGCTAGAGAATTGTCGAAAAATCAACATGCCAACTTTTTGAACCATCAATTAAGAAAGAAGCAAAATATTGTATCTTTTCATTGCCTGTTAGCTGCCATTTCTGGCACCAGGATGGACATTGGTCAAATCTAGGGAGTGACCAAAATCCCAATCCAATGGGCTAAGGTCGACGATAACCACCTGATCCATGTTCTCCAGCCAAAACTCCAGATTCTAGTCAATTGTATCGATAAATCGCATTACGTTGATTGGCAAAAGCAGCATATTCTACATTCGCTACTGTATTTCAAAATTTGGCCCTTTAACTGATTAATTTCTACCTTAACTTTTTTCATTCTTTTGTGTTATTAGAAACCAATCTCATGCATGTTTCAACTACTACTAGGCAGATTGGTTCTAAAGCTATTGTTCATGTTTCAAATTTTCCTGGTTCATTTATTTCAACTAGAAAACCGTTAAGGCTGATGAGCCGAAGGTTAGACTGGTTCATTTATTTGAAGGAACTGATTGAAGTTTAAGGCTGATGAGACTTACCCATGGAAAATTTGATTATATTTAGACCTGAAACTTGAGCACCTAAGAACTAAACTTGTTCTCTAAATTTGATTAGGAAGATTGTGTATGGAAGATGCTGAAACTAAAGATGGCACTTTGTACTGGACAAGTTTTGGTGTAGTATTTGCTCCATGTATTCACTGGAAATTTGATAGTCTTGTCTAAAATCTCCCAGTACACTTGCATCTTACAAGAGATCTTTCTTAATGTGCCTTATAGAACTTGCCTCTGAGGTATCTTTGCTTGTGATGTGGATGACATGTTTCAAATGAATTCATTCTCAGGCTTGGAACCTTCACAAGAAGGGCCAGACTCTGGAGCTGATGGATCCCGCACTGGTGCCCACGGCAGACGTAGAGCAAGTCGCAATGTGCATTCAGGTCGGTCTCCTCTGCACTCAGCGTGACCCCAAGCTGCGGCCGGACATGAAGCGCGTAGTGATGATTTTGTCCAGAAAGCCAAGCATTCTACAGGAGCCAACCCAGCCTGGGATTCCCAGAACCAGATTTCTGAGCTCTCACGGAACACGCGGTTCCCGCACGGGTTCCGGCAGTTCGGGTGGTGCATCTTCCTCTACTGTAAACTCTGCCTCCACCTCAGCGGCTACCACCTCAACAGCAAGATATCATTCATCATATCAGGAGCATCGCCCTGTGTGATTTTGTATAGTGTGAGCAAGTTTTTGTTCCATTTTAATTAGATGCATTTTTCTGTGTAAATTCTTTTGGGATGCTTGGTTGTGAACTGAACGAGCCTGACTGAAGTAGGCATATTCTTTAATTCAAGGAAATGCGTGATTTGAGGTGTTTATGATGCATAGGACTAATGATTGAACCAAGCGATTCACAATAGCTGGAGATCAGCTCAGTTTCGTGCTCACTTTGCCTTGCATCCATGTAAACGAGTTGTACCTAATAGAATTTGCTTTAGATTCAAGTTGAAGAGACTATGATGGAGAAAAGGAGCAGAAGAACAGAGAAAGAATCGAACCACCTCGATAACATAAATCATTTTTAAATCATATATTAAAAAAATAATTTTTTTATTTTAAATATTAATCTTATGATACATTAGATTTGGTATGCGGCTTACCGAAAGTCAAATGTTTGAAACCTTCAAAAAAAATAATAAAAAAATCACTAGATGGTAAGATTTGGTCAATTTTCTCCGGATTCAGTGGTGGGACCTCATAAGTAGTTGGACGATTCAATCTCCTCCGTCCTCATTCAAACTTCCATTATCTTTTTGCATTCACAATGCACTGCAAGAACTCAAACGATGCTGTGTTGGACACGTTTTGCCTTCTGGTCTGTATTCGGCGGCAGAGAGAAAGGTTCCGGTGGACCACGGCTGGGGCCACCTCACTCACCAATCACCATCAAGGTATTCGGATGAGTAACCGAACCCAATGGTACAGGATATTAAATCTGCTGAAATAGTTTGGAAAATTGAAAATAGCATATTTGTTCATATAACTTTTCATGCAATATGTTCTTCCAATTAATATCGAGCAATAAATTTCAGATTCACCATTCTTAACAACATCAAATTTGATTGAAAAATGTAAACTATTTTAATACCAAATTATGTTTGGTATGCCTAAATTTATATTTATATAGATAAATAAGAAGATTACATCGAAATGAGGGATACGCAGGTAATTTGCTAAAACGACGAACTAAGAAGTGCGTCTTCGTGCCCTTATTTTATTCTTGCAGGCGTAGAATTTGTGGCCGCGAGTGAGAGCTCCACTCCATGCTCCGGTGGGTTCCAAGTGTTTTGGGTAAAGGTTGCCCTTCGGGCGACAAAAAATTTTGGTAGGTTGAATCATTGGCATGCATTTTGGGGAGCATACCTCCCCTTCTGAACTTTCCATTTTGCTTCTCTTGGATAAACACGGTGATTTTTGTAACCACGATGTTTTGGGTTGGATAGATATTTCTGTGTTTTGGAAGAACAAAAATTAGAACCAGACCGGATTGGACAGTAGGGCCAGGTTTGGGCGCCGATTCTGGAGCAAATTGGAAAGGACAAATTATGTTGTTGTCGGAAATCTCCCTCTTTTCTTTCGTTTTGCAAGGAGTTTCCTACCTTTCAATGTGAACAAATGAACACCCTTTCAGCATGAATGATCAGTTTGCATACTTGTTAATTGTGTACTAAGCAAAAAAGATTGTCTAAAGCACCTGACATAATCTTAATATTCTAATTGCACATACCTTCACTGTGTAATTGGTTATTCTGGTCAATTCACAAGATGGATTACTATTTTGAGAAATAATGCTGCTCCTTATACACCAATTAACAAAATGCTGATATGTCTTGTGATAATGTGACGAAGACATTGAGTAGCCGTACTTGATCTTTATGTCTTCTCAGTTCAGTTGAAATCTGCCAGAAAGTATATTAGACTTCTTCTTATTGAATTGGTAGTTTAGATCTGTGAAATCTGTATATTGGAAATAAAAAATACCCTAGCTTTGGAGCTTTCAGTTGTAATCCTTCGGCTTGCTGATGTGGTTGGCTCAGTTGGAGATGAATGAGTACATTTGCTTCCTCTGGTTTACTAAATCCGTCTGGCATAACTGAATTCTTGTCATTTGCTTCCCTTGTTGCATCAACCTGAGTGAATGATTGTATGTTAGTTTGTGCTGCATTACCATCAGTCAGAATAATTTGCTTGCCAGTTTTCTTTGGAAAATTCTGTACCTTCCTGTGTAATTCCGTGTTTTCTTGACACATGATGTTTATATTCCTGTAGAGTTCCATATTTTCTTGGTGAACAAGGCTCCCCTGCAATGACATTAGTGCAAAGTCCAACATTTGAAACTCAAAATGAGCATAATAGGGACAGTAGTTTGTCCAACCTTCCGATGTAATTCTTGAATTTCCTCGAGTAGAAGTTGTTCCTGTAGAGAGAAAAACTCAACGAAATAAGTATGCACAGATATACCGTATGAGCAGTTTTAGGGCTAATGTAACTAATACCTTCCTCTTTCGGATACCATCCAGATTCGTCTCCAGTTGGTTCTCTATATTTTGTAGATCTTTTATGTCTAGACCAGAAAGTTCTCCCATCAACTGTCTGCAAGTGTTGAAAAAGATATGAGATGTGTGTTTTTATTCAAGCTTTCAAGTTCTTTTTATTAAATATAATTAGTATAATCCATATGAAACTACAAGGATATTCAGAACAAATATACTTATAAGATACTAGGAATCCATTGACCATATTTATTTTATTATTGCTGTTACTGCTGTCGTCATGAGACAATTATTATTTGATGTTTCTTGTTAAAAATATTATTGTTAATAAGTCTCTCGTATACTTTGATGCATGCAGAGGACCCAATGTCTTGTAGGGAAGACAATCCAGATGTTGCATTGTTAGGCCATTGTCATCAATCATAATAGTTTGATGATTGGCTTTAATATGTGTTGTAGGAATTGACTTGAGAATTTTAGTGGGCAAAGGTAATAGAAGAATACAGTGTGAAAACTGCAGAAGAAAGAAATCAGAAGTGGAACAAAATCACACAAAGAAGAAAGAAAGGGAAAACCAGGGACAGCTGACATAAAGAATAGTTATTGTTTTAATCAAAACACCTTAGCCAATCAATGCATTCTTTACATTGACTGACTACTACAGAAAAACATAAGGACCTAGGTTCATTTTTACTAATAGGATTCTAGCATTGGGTTATCATCCATAGTAAAGTGACTTGCAACAGTAGCATATGAAGTGTTTCCTTCTTTATTTGGTTTCATTCTTTCATTCAGTTTCAAATGATTCTGAAGAAGGATTTTACTATTTCTTATAATAGCCCCCTCTTTATTTGGTTTCATTTATTTGGCAGCAGTAACTAGTTTGACTTGCACATTTCTTCTCTCAGTGGCACAGATGCAATCTTTTAGTTACAGATTAGCATATGATTAAGGCTATTTTTCTCTCACCACAGAATGTCAATGTGAAAACAAGATTAGATTATATATATATATATATATATATATATATATATATATATACGTCTAGATGTTAATACTGCCAAAATATTGATCAAAGCTTTCTATTAATATGATGTCATATATTACTTTGAAGACAAGATCACTATTGTCTATATTTTTACCATGTATGGTTGTCATAAAATGTTGTAAATAACTATATTATATGCTTAAATCCTGTATAGTTTCTTCTTATCTCAAAATCCATCTCCATCAGGTTTCAAAGTCCTCAACGAATAAATGTGAATGTTGGAACTTCTGGGGTAACTTATTTGTATCTATTGCCTTTCTAAATAAATCAAGTCAAAGTGTTTGATTTTAAGGCATTTTAGTTTCTATTGTTCTTTGACTAGTTTAAACAGTGTAAGGATGTGGTCATTAATGCATAATTAAGGACAATCTGGTTGTAAGTGGTAATTGGCATGGAACATTCATGTTAGAGATAACTCAATCTGTGATTCGTTTTTGTCTCTATCATTCTTTGAATGAAACCAAAGCATGTTATCACAATTCTCTTTTTGATGCTACAAGTTACTAACTTACAAAATGATTACTTAAAGCGACTATGCTCATGTCATGCAGGTGAATTGAGCATACCTATGAGTTTCGTGCAATTTATGCAGTCGCTGCCTCAAGCTTGTTGCCTCCCTTTGCCAGAACTGTGAGTACAAAGAACAATTTTAACCATTAAATGTTGGTACTGCTAGATTTATGTTGCTACAATTACCCAGACTCGAAAGCAAGCACCATGTCAACTGAACTATTATCTGTTCTGACATCTAGTAGTAACATATGACATAAAACACTGAAGAATACTTTCCTTGAATCACTAGTTAGAAACTTTGTTAAAACTCTTTTAGATTACTTGTTGATGATGTCTGCTATTGTTTGTTGACTATAGTCATTTTTTTAATCTTATTCTACTCAGTTTGTAGTATTTTATTAATGCTTTAGAGTTTAGACTTTCTGACTACTATTCTACTGCGGCTGCATTTTGGTGGTTTGTCTATCATGTGAAACAAAAACAACATCTATACATTGATAAGAGTCTTTATATGGCAACCAACAACTATATATTCATAGTAGTTCTACTGATCACAGTCATCATGGTCAGACCATTCAGAAATATTTCCATATTAGTTGTTATAGCAAGTGCATGTGCACTACTATACCAAATGCTGGCATTTACCAATAATTACTGACCTAGATTCCATAATTATTGTTTGTTTGATTCAACATTGGCTCACAGTCTATCAAAATATCAAATGTCGTAAGAACAAATGTCAGTTAGGAGTTATTCAAAATTATAATTTTGATCACTAACCACATGAGATTATCATTCTAGGCAACATGACATTCATTTTGGTGGTAGTAACAGCTACACCAATAAAGTATGGTTTATTTGATGATTAACTTCATGCGTTTATAAGTTTTTGACTTGCATGTACATGATCTATGGGTAATGCATGTATCATCTATATATCATGTGAAAACTTCTTGCACTTTTAGAAGTTTTACACATGTTTTTATATATGGTCAATGATAGGCCTTAAAAGCATACTTTGATTTATGAGGTATGGTTTTTCATAATGGTGGACAGCAATTTGTGGTCATTGTTTCAAGAAGCACCTGGCCTTTTGATAATCGATCTGTTGATGAGTTGAGGAGAATATCAAAACTGGCTAGAGGGTCTAATTATAACGAGTAAGACACATCATTTTCCATTCTCAAGAAGATATGATCTATTTGGCATATAGATATTATGGATGTAGGTCAAGTAGGATGAAGTGCATGAGCTTGGGGCACCGACTTAGTGCATTTGTATTATAATAAGATTTATGCATCGATGAGCACTGACCTAATGCTGGATGACAGCAATTGCCAAGTTTGATAGGCAGAGTGGAAGCTGCTGTCCAGACATTTTTGCAAGGTAGATTATGATAGCACAGAGGAAGCTGAGGCCTTTTTCTAAACCTGCTCAAGACAATGGCCTTCCAAGAGCTTCCTGAATGAGGTACAGATGTTGCCACCAATCATAACATACCCTTGATTGTCATGCATTACCAACTTTTGTGTTTAAGCATTGGCAACTGCTTATCCAACTGGAACAACACATTCAATTCCTTGCATTTCATTGTACTCACTGGGATTGAAGTGCTAGAAACAGTAATTCTGATACAAGTCATGCAGGATGTTTGATGTAATACTTATGTATGTCCGTATATTTTGATTTGTTCATGCTTTGCACAGCATGTAGAGGGACGGTCGAAGGTTTAACAACCTCATTTTAGTTGGGTTTGGTGGTCGTTTTAGGCTTGTAAATAAAGGTTGTGTCATGTGGACACTTGTGAGAAATATTCGATCTGTAATGGACCATTTTGACCCTTTGTTGTGCAACCGTTCAGAGCTTGTAAAGTCTGTTTGTAATTTGCATTGTCTATGAAATGTTTACTGAAATGTTTACTTGTGGATCCCGAGTGAGGTGCTTTCTCTAACTTGTTTTCTCTTTTGTAGGTCCTAAGGGACCATGGGAGGTTTCGGGGAGGCTGACCTTTGCGGACGGACACGCAAGAGTGCCGCATGACTTAGGCAAAATCAGCTAAGTCTGTGACATATGGTATCAGAGCGGGACAAGCACTCATAGAAACACTTGGCAAGCAAATGTGGGGGACCCAACGGGACTACGTTGAGGGCAGTCAGCACGCACGACTGTTTGGGGGTAAACGAGCATGGAGATGTAGGGAAAATGAGTCGCTCGAAGGAGCGGTCATCTGAGATTGACATTTAGAGGAATGACCAACCCTTCGCGCAAGAGGCACTACGAGAACAAGCAAGCTTGAAAGAATGCGTAGCGCACAAATGTTGGGATGGCTGAGTTCGAGCTACGGCTCAATGTTGACAACCATACATGATGGTGCTCAAGGCAAGCGAGGCGCTTGGTAAAGGATGAGACCATGCAATGTGGAATGGGTTGCTCAACGATCGAAAGAGTTGTGCAAAGCTCACAGAAGTAAGGGGAATTACTAACTCGAAGAATTCAGTACTCGTGCAAGGGCTTGTATGCGGACGATGGAATGTTCGTGGCCATGCCAAGGCGACCGAAACTCGGTGCCATGAAGCATTGGAACTTTCTCGTCGACACGAGAAGGATACGTCCATAGGAGGTTGAAGTGTGTAGTGAGTTCAGTATGTTGCTAGACCTTGAGTAGTGCAGCGGGGGCTGTATTGACGTAGAGTCGCAATCTAGCAAGTGCGTTTGCAAGAGGCAGAACAATGCACAGTTTGTTCAACAAGTCGGAGTAGTCCAAGGGGATAGTGGTCTCCGAAGCTTTTAGAAGGAAGGAAACGAAGAGAGATGTTGCTCCAACAGGATAGATACTTGGGAAGGATAAGTCTCGGCTCTCTAGAGGGAGAATCATGTGTAACTGACTGCACATGTTGAGGAGGAGTAACTAAAAAACAACAACTCCACAAAGCTCAATGAACCGAGTGAGCGGCGAGAAATCGTCGCATGATCTCGCTTGAGAGAATGCATTGGTGGATGCATTGCGAGATCAAGTGGGGGAGCGACCCAAAGCAATACAAATGAAGGCATACTTAGAGTCGATATGGAGATCAGACTCAAGGGAGGGCTGACCCGTGATGAATGGTGGGCGCGAGAGCCACCATCAACTCAATGCAAAACAAGGAGCGGAGTAACTTGGGTGTAACTTAGAGAAGTACCCAAGCCGCATGAAGGGAGCCAGCATAGAAGATGAAACATGGAGTGGAGGCACAAAGCTTTCCTTGAACAAGGGTCAAGGACATGAACTCTTACAGAGGCAAGAGCGGGATCATGTCGTTATATGGGTCATTCATTCGGATGGAGCAGACTCATCTTGCATGGTGCCAAAGACGAAGGGAGCTTCTAGGCACATGCATCTTATCTCGGAGAAGCATTTGATGGAGGAAGTAAGGCGACTCAACTTGCAGAGGCGAAGTTGAGTTCAGAAGACCTTGGCACGGGGTAAGAGAAAGCGGAGGTGGGTACTCTTGAAGAATATGCTACAGTGTTGCCATGAAGGAAGCGGTGCATAGCGGAGATTGTGCTGATAGGGGCAGAGGCCTAGAATCCAAACAATAGTGCACTAATTTCAACGAAATCGGTGGACTTCGAGAGCTAGTAGGCGACGAGCTGTCCTAGAGCAGTGCTTTGTCTAGGTGTGACCCGACAACGGGGGGGACGAAGGTCGATTGCCAAAGGAACGAACAAAATCGAAGGTGGAAGAGACCCTACGATGTGTTGGCAGAGGCCACATATTGAGGTATTACAATTCGAGTTCATCCCATAAGGATCAGAATGCAATGAAGATGTTACCAGGAGACGACATGGTGCAGCGGATCGTGGTGGAACAATTCGTGGCAATGCAATACACACGAATCTAGTCCCGTGAGCGACTATATCATACAGTGGTATGATCGGGAGCTACTAGGAGCTCCACTTCAGTGAACAACACAACGGCAAGAAGGACTATGGATTCAAGGAGTGAAGGTCGTGGTACCGCAGAGGATGAGAGCCTTGCTGCATGCATCGAATTTTGCATCGGATGAAAGCCTTGGTCATCAGCATATGGGGGCTGTGTACCACCGAGAGAAAAGTTCGAATGCAAGTACCTGTGAGTCCCATGGGAGGGACTTGATCATATAGAGGTATGATCGAAGCAGCTGGAGAGTTAGACTGCTCCAGAGCCCATATTCGCTTAAGGGAGCCCGGCAAGTCAGAGGACAAGGTCGAGTAAGCGAACGTTGCTACCAAGGAAGCTAAGGAGAACAGAATCGGTGCAAACCCTATAACATGATGGTAGAGGCCATGCATGAGAGTTACAGTCTGTCTTTCCATCGACCAAAGGGAGCTGCTTGGAGAACACAGAGGTGTTGAAGCAGGGGGTCGAAAGGGGTGAGAAAGTGACGACGAGTCCAGATGGACTTAGCTATCCAAAATCAAGCATCAATTAGAATAGAGGTGGACTCGGAGGAGTGTCACAGAGACATATCTACTGATCGTGACGAAAAAGGATGCAGATGCGAGGCGACGGATAGTAGGGCCATGGGCATGGCAGCGCCATGGAACCGCAGAGGCGGGACTTCCGAGAAAGTCATTGATCTCTTGCTCTCATGGAGGGAGAGTGCTTGGTCGTGAAAGGGGCCGAGGAGGTGGAGCATGTAGAGGCAAACTTCAAGTACCGAGACAAGGCTGAAGGGCAGAGGCCAAGGAACTTCGTAAAACCGGCGTCAACGAGCTTCTCATCAAGATAGCCGAAAGTGAGGGACTTCGGGTCGTGCAAGAGTGCACGACCAAGGAACGAAGCAGGCAGTACGCGGTGCTGTACCTTTGCTACTCTGTGGAGTAGGCGACAACGTTGATGGAGAAGACGGTACATTCCTAGAGGCGACCAAAACTATTAGAGACTTACTCCAAGTTGGGGTGAAACTTCTTGCATTCCAGAAGTTCGATGGCATTGAGAAGGTGAATCACAGTAGCTAACTCAATGGAAGGAGTGCAAACACTTCGAGTGCTTCAGAAGTGTGAGCAAAGAGCAGGCGAAGGTCAGTAACCAGCTCGATGCATGGAATACAACCCTTGAGGAGGCGGACGAAGTCAAGTAACTATTGCCTTTATATAAGGGAAGTTATTACAAAGTTTATTCCTAATCCTCTTTAGTATAAGAAATTTTGATATCAAGGAGTCAAATACTGGTCAAACTGGCGGGTATCGGTCCAACAAAAGACTTTATAAGACCTTATAGGTTAGTATTGGTAAGTTGTTAATTTTTATAATTTCTTTTTTCTGGTGATACTGGGTGGTAAATTTGATATATTGCCCAATTTACTGGCGGCACATCAGACTGAAATTGGAATGTCATTGAGCTTCACCAAATAGAGGAAAGGCATACACATTATCCTATGATAGGAACATATAAAAAAAAACAAGGGAAGAGCAACATTTAGCACTCCAAAGAAACCTTCTTTGGGGGTGAAGAGTAAGAAGAAAGGCTGGAGCCTGGTATACCAAGATAGATTCTCGTGAAGTTAGGGAACCTAGTATGGATATGGTAATAGGTTATAGGAAAAAGAAAGAGCGCCTCATTTTTTGGAGTGATCCCTAGTAGCAACGAGGTACAGTTATTAATAGACTGAGTAAAGATGATATGTGCAGTGAAGATACCCCTGGAAGCATTTCTGGCTGATGTAATCATTATTAATCTTGCTTCCAAGGGTTGAGAATGCCAAATTAATTCCTCTTTTAAGTCCTATCCTTTGGCTGAGGATTATGCTTCTTGTATGGATGGTATAGGTGGTAAACTCTGCTAGTTTTGGGATTTGTATTAGACGTAATGGGTAGCAAATGAAGTACTGTTGTCCCTTTCTTTTCTTTGATATCAAGAGAAACATACAGATGTGACACGTCATCAGAGCACTTGTAGACCTACATCATTGTGGCCTCTTGCTTTCCTATAGGCAACAATAGAAATAATAAATCTATTATGATGACCTCATCTCTTTATTATCAGCAGTGAACTTTCTGTCATTGGAATATTCGAAACAAGTAGATCCACATAGTGAAAGGGTTACATAACTCTAATTGGAAAGAAATACACACCTCATAGTGGTGCATAGGTGACTCTTTTTGCAAGTTATGGTCATCCTCTCTAGTTAGGTGCCAATGAGAATCTATACCATAATAGCAATTCAGTGTTAAGTGAAACTAAAACGAAGAATAGTTCTAATTTTTTAAAGTTGGATGTCTGGGAAGACGAACTGCTTATACTTGGTGAAGGCCTAAATAAAATTTCTCTGTAGTTGCCTCCTTACCACACCCAAAATTAAGCATAATGACAGGCCAATTATGAGGCTGATTCTGGGTCTTCTTGTTGTTAACCAAATAAACTAGCCAATAGTCATCTCATTCAACATGCAAAAAAGAGTGTGGAAGTCCATAAATAGGTAACAAAAACATTTTAAAATATATAAAGGTTCAAATATATTCACTTGTTCAACCAGGAGACCATCAGAATTAATTGTTAAATTTCACTGTGCATGATATCTTGCAACTAGTTCAGTTCCAGATTATCGTTACAATAGAAAAGGAATATTATATATATATATATATATATATATATATATATATATATATATATAATGTCAACTTTAATAGGTTTTGCATTATGTAAACTATTACAGCTACATGTGACCTATGATAATTGTCCCACCAATATTAGATTGAGAACTAACAATCATCACACTTAGGTGACAAGACTAGTGATTTATTATTTCACCCCATTTGGCATTTTTGGAGTGATGGAATTCTACCATCACATCTCATCTCTTCTTATTGAACTTCCAATCTCTCTCATGCATGATGAAAGGAAGTTTTTCTTGGACACTTTCTTGCATATAAATGGCTCATGCTGCTTTCTTTTCCTCCTATGGAGAAGGATAAGCTAGAATAGTTTATCAAAAGATTCATTAAATTGTAGATCTAAAGAAGTTGTCTACCTTCCTATAACCAGAAAGCAAAAGCATTTAAATTTGTGAAAGAGGAGAAGGCTGATTAAGCAACAAAAATTATTCATAGCTCTTTTCATATCACTTTTCACCTAAAATTGGTTTTGGTTATGCCTAATAGTTTAAGATTGATATGAAACTAACAAAGCTAACATTAACTTAAAAACTTATATTGTAGATTAATCTAACATTAAATGAATTAGTTGTTATGCTTTGCATAAAATATACCATAGTTTCTGAACTCGGGTTCATAACCAGATGATGCTCCCCCTTTGCTCTAGTGTATCTTTCCATCACAGACTTCATGCTGCATAAACACCTTGTATAAGCTTTAAGTTCAACGTTATACATATTTTTTGCATATGAGAAGAATATGCATCATCACTAGTGTCACAAATGATAAGTGCATTTTTAGAACTATTGGTATTGATCGTCTGTACTTAAGAAGAAAGAGGTTTAACTGATGTAAGAGAATTGTTCTATTCACCAAATAAAAGGATGCATTAGTACCTTTTTATTCAATGGAATAAAGAAGTTACAGAACCAAATGTTGTACATGATATCACCTTTGTTTTTTGTTCTTGCAAAACATTAAAGGTAAACAGTAAGATGATTAATTTATCAAATATGATGTGGAAAAAGTTTGGTGGATAAAACAGTTTGTTATTAGTAGAAAAACATGATTAACATAAGTGAATCAAACACATTCTAATATAGAGCTACAAAATCATGATAAACCATGCTGGAAAAGAAATAAGATGGTTTTTGCTTTTAGATAAGCTTAAGGGATACATCAAACTAGGTTTGGTTTTTTTATTTTCTACAAAAACAATTTCAATATCATGAATAAAATTATCTTGAAAGATGATCAAGCTTATGAAACATTTATTTCGTTGTGTATCTCCTGAAAATATTAGAACTTTAGACAAAACTGCAACATCCATCAATTCCTATTTTTGATCCTGAGATGGCAATCAGACAACAGGTTACTGACTGCAAGTAGTAATGAAACATTTATTTGGTTGTGTATATCTCCTGAAACATTAGAACTTTAGACAAAACTGCAACATCCATCAATTCCTATATTTGGTCCTGAAATGGCAATCAGAAAACAGGTTACTGAATGCAAGTAGTGGACAAAGGGGAAGAGTTTTAACAACTAATCAGAATAAAATTTGCTTCTCTCTATATTGTATCTTGTTTAGTGATTTTTTTGTTACATCTCATGCCTGAATGTTTGCTGCAATATCCTGTGCTTATGTACGATTTGAGAGTCAATTTGCAGATTTGCAAAAATATTTACTATGACAATTATATTGCAAAAATGTTTACAGATTTGCAACAATGTTTATCTTGTGCTTACGCCTGAATGTGCTTATGTAGGATTTTAGAACAATTACATTGCCCAAGGTTTTTTACACGGTTGATGAACTTTTTTGTTTCGGCAAGTTTATCTTGCCAAAGATTTTTTTACAAGGTTTAATCTAACAATAAGGTTTCTATTTCAAGCAGCTGAAGAAATTATTGTCAGCTCGGATTTCATATCTGATGGATTATTGATTCTGTTTATTAACAGTGCATCTGTTAATTGTGACAAGGTCTTGTATTTTGGAGAGACAAATGTTGTGGAAGTATTATCTTTTAAACTCATCATACTTTTATATATTCTCATAAACCATAAACATTCTGAAAACCAAACATTTTTCTTTGTTTATATCACTATAGGTGTTTCTTTTTTGAGGTATGAAAGATGCACAAAAGCATGTATTAGATGCAAAATATGCTATTCATCTATGTAGAGGTATGTTGACACACATGATTTCTTTTATGGAAGCATTAGCACAGGCATGTTGCGGTTCTAATAGTGATAACCACAAATCTAGGATTGACATGTACATTTCAGATTGAAATGAGAAATGCGTGTATTAGATTGCAAGAACATGAAAATATTACCAACTATCATCTGTGAATGAAAGAATGAACAACATGGATAACATATTTTGCATGGATTTGCCAAGTTGTAGACATAAATGTTAGTGGCATCCATTTGGGCTTAATCTTTCATATGCTTATCATCATGACACTCTATTAGTTGTCTTGGAATCAAGATGTTCATGTCCATACTTCTTTGAAATGTGATTAACATATATAAGATTAAATATCAATTTAACATAAAAATTTAAACTTAAATAAAACAAATAGCTCAGCCCAATCCTTCCTATGATCTGCTCTTCTTTGATCACTGATCTCATGTCTATAGTAATGATCATACTAGGCAAAATGACCTCTAATCCAAAAGCATGTATATTTGGAACGAAGTACAACTCGATCACATGAACCTTGTACCAGTTCCCAGGTGTTAAAGCTTGGGGGATGAAGGTAACATCATCTCCATAGTGATGATGTTCCCAGGTGTTAAAGCTTGGGGATGAAGGTAACATCACCTCCATAGTGATGATGTTCCCAGGTGTTAAAGCTTGGGGATGAAGGTAACATCATCTCCATAGTGATGATGTTCCCAGGTGTTAAGCTTGGGGATGAAGGTAACATCATCTCCATAGTGATGATGTAGTCAAGACAAATGGAGCTTCAACCTCATGACAGGCGAAAGAAGATAGATCACAGTTGAAGAGCACTCCCCATCATCATTCAAACTATTCTAGCTTCTAGTCTCATCACCACCATGAACACAGTAGCAAGCAGAACTAACGTCGAGAGAAGAGAGAGAGAGAGAGAGAGA